AAAGCTGTAGATGAGTGTAAGTAACCAATCTACATGTGCACACGCGCCTGTGTGTGTGTTTGTGTGTGTGTGTTTGCGTGTGCATGCACACGTTCGCATGTGTGGACACACATACATGTGGAAGGTCTGCAGGCACACATGCCAAATTGTTACAGTGGATCCCCTTGGGAAATGAGGAGTGAGTGCCGGGAGGGAGGACCACTGGCTTTCACTTTTACACTTTCCACGGTGCCAGGGTGACCCCACACCCCAATAGTAAATAATAATAATAACCTGAATTCTAAATTTTCTCATTTACATTTTAATTCCATGAATAACTTTGCTTCCTATTGTCCCATCAGCATGGCAGGATGTAATTTAGGAAGAGCGGAGTCACTGGTTAGCCAGCGAATTTTTAAAGCAGCAATAATGTACGCCACGCCACGGTACTTCTCCACCAACCCCTGTGTAACCTTCCCAAACAGGTGTGCCTCTCCATCTAGGACCTAGGAGGGGTTTTGTTTCCCTCAAACTCACTGGGAAATTGTCCTGGATGGAGTGTCCTCGGTGACTGGAAACAGCTAAGAGGCACAAGTGCTGGGAATTAAAGAAGCATCTGCTTAAAAAGCAAACTCTTACGAACCAGCAAGAAGAGTGTCAAGAAATGATCTGCTGAGGGCCCTGATGGAAAGCTTTGTTGGAATATGTGTCTGTGGGTAACTGTGGTCCTTTCACATTCGCAATTAGAAAACAGAAGATGAGACGCTACAGCTGATGAATCAATGTGGCTTGTTACTAGATTATGGAATTCAAAGATACGATAGAGACAACTGAATGTCTGAAGACAACCAAGTGAAGCTGCCTGAATCATTTTTTTCTCCGCGGTTTTCACTAGAAAAAAAGTCATTCTTTGTCATTTTTCCAAAGTCATTACTATGTTAGAATTGTCAAGAAAAAAAAGGATACATGTTGTTGTTGTTGTTTTTTCTTTTCAGTGTATAGGATGATACTGAGAATGAACTGCTTCACTTTGGGTCCTGTTTAGAAAATGAAGCTGTGGCTTTCGGTTTAGACAGAGAGAGGCAGATAATAGCAAAGGGCAGAGAGGGCGTGCTCGGGAGCTAAGCTCGTGAGTTCAAATCCTCGCCAAGCTCGTGAGTTCAAATCCTCGCCCTCCACTTTTTAGCTATTTATGTTGGGTTATTTCATCAGGTAAGTGAGGACACTCCTAAAATCCCCTTCACAGGACTGTGCTAAGGATCATGTGAATTAATACAGATGAAGTGCTTAAAAACAGTGCCTGGTTCTTAGGACACACTGAGTAGGTGTTAGCTATTGCTGCAGACAGACTTGTGTGGATGGTAAATACTGACCACTTTGTAAAAATAAACATAGGATACTGACAGATTAGCTCCTTCAAATGATTATATAACTATCGCTATTAGGGGGAGGGGATACAATAAGCAACTACAGAGATCATCAAATTTACTGTCAAATGTCTAGGCCAGTTCATCTAGGAGTGAAGGGAAAAAAATCAGGCCTCATATCACAGTCCAGTAACTTTCAACCATCTCACTTCAGGTCCTGCTTCCTGCAATGGGATATGGAGGCGACACAAGAGGAGTTTCAGGATACAGGCACAGATACGCAATGAAGTTCGCATTTTACCTTTTTCCAGAAAAAGGAGAACCTCGATATAATCTCTGTCTGAACAACAAAATGTTAAAGACTATATTGGTGGACAGCAGCTAGAAAGGAAGCTATGACAGACCTGATCCAGGAGGAAAACAAAAATAGAAATAAAAAACATCACCCCGATTATAACAGTGGCCATCATAAAGAATTTGTCCCCTTCGTCTAAATACTGCCAAACACAGAGACACCTAATGTCCCTCTAAAAACAAACACAAAAAAGAGGTATCAGTGACTGTGAGGGTCAATTCTTTGGAATTAACTGATTGAATCATGAAGAGACTAAGTTACATCAAGGAGCTCATGGCTCAAGCTGGCCGGGTGGCCTGTACACCCTAACCCTACTCTAACCCTAACCCTACCCTAACCCTAACCCTAACCCTA